GAGATGTCTCCCAGCCAAAGAGAAGGAAAAGATTTAGGGAATAGTGGAATCCATAGAAAAAGTTCTGCTCCACTTGATCCTGTAGTTTCTAAGTGTGGGGTGTGGGTGAATTTGTGGAGGATATTTTTTTTGAGTTGGAGTCTCACTCTTGTCGTCCAGGCTGGAGTGCAGCGGCACACTCAGGGCCACCACAGCCTCGACCTGCTGGGCTTAGACCATGCTTCCAGGTAGCTGGAACTACAGACACATGCCACCACGCCCGGCTAGTTTTTGTGATTTATTGTAGAGACAAGGTCTCACCAATTTGCCCAGGCTGGTCTCGAGCCCCCAGGCTCAGGCAGTCCTCTCTCCTCAGCCTCCCAAAATGCTAGATTACTGGCTGAGCCACCACACCCAGCCTTTATTTCCATCTTAAAAGATGCATAGACCATTGGGAACCTAGACTGCTTTGCCCACATTTTCTTAAATTTTCCAAGTTAAAGTATCCATTAAGCAGCTGTTTTCTCCCCTACTTTAGGATTCATTTTATAAAGACCAAGAAGATCTCATTTTCAGTATTCACATTGCGGAGAAATATAAAGATTCCTCTAATTTATTTTAAAAACACATCTCTTTCCCGAAGGTGACATATACATAATTAGGAGAATAGTATCAACTAACCACTATCTTGGTGAAAATCTTATTTCACCTGGGACCAGAGGTGGTATCCATCCTCAGGGTTGCTGGAAGAATTGCTGTAAGTTTGATCTACAATCTGATGTGCTGTGGTTACAAGCAAAGACTGTTTCAAAGCTCCATCTGGGTACCACAGCTTCACCAGGGTTGCCCATAGCTTATAGAACCGAACACACTTAAGTAATTTGGATGTTAAATGTTTTCCAAAGAGCTCAGGGCACGTTGGCTCATGCCTATAATCTCAGCACTTTGGGAGGCTAAGGCGGGAGGATCATTGACAGAAGTTTGAGACCAGCCTGGGCAACATAGCAAGACTTCTTCTCTAAAATTAGCCATGCTTGGTGGCATGTGTCTATAGTCCCGCCTACTCAGAAGGCTGAGACGAAAGGATCACCTGGGCCCAGAAGATCAAGGCTCACTATAGCCTTGATTATGCATGTCACTGTACTCCAGCCTGAGTGGCAGAGTGAGACCCCGACTCAGATAAATAAATAAAGTTTTCAAGGGCTAGATACTGATTTTAGAAAGGGTAACTCATTTGTTCAGAATTTTTTCTGTCCCTAAAGCTCACCCACTTTCTAAAATGCTGAAAACCTGTACATTTTCAAGATGTATTTCTCAATCTAGGCATGTCTATTTTATATGATAACTTCTTGGTTACCTAAAATTCACTGAGAAGAGGATGTTTAATCTAATAAAATTTTCTGGTTAAGAAACTCTAAGGCCGGGCACAGTGGCTCAAGCCTGTAATCCGAGCACTTTGGGAGGCCGAGGTAAGGAGATTGCCTGAGTCCATGGGTTCGAGACCAGCCTGGGCAATTTGGCGAGACCTCATCTCTACAATTAAAAATCAAAAAATTAGCCAGGCGTGGTAGTATGCCTGTAGTTCTGGCTATTTGGAAAGCAGAGGCAGAAGGATCGCCAGAGCCCAGCAGGTCGACGCTGGGGTGGCCATGAGCATGCCACTGAGTAAGGCCCCAACTCAAAAAAAGAGAGAGAAAACTCTAAGACACTCTTTAAAAAAATCCACGATCTATTAACAACATTTTTTTTTTAAGATTGTGAATCCTGTCTTCCATAAGATTAGTCATCAACACTCAGTATTGAAAAGGAAGAATGAAAGAGCAACAAAAGCATAATTTATTTAAGGCCGAATGCACAGTTACTGAGGGTATGGCCCTTGCTGTTCCGTCTCATGGAGGTTTGAATGCTGGGTCTACCTCTTACTAGCTAGGAGTTCTTTAGCAAGTTATTTATGATGTATTATTTCTCTCATTCATGAATTGGGATCATGGTGGTATAGACCCACAGAAGTCTATACCACATGAGACAGTGAGTGCAGGAATAAGGACCTTAACAAAAAGGCCTCAACAAAAAGCCAGAAACAAACAACTGCACCTGGCATTATGCAAGTGGATATTTTGCATGTTAACTCATTAATCTTCAAAGTGACTCGATAGGGTAGTATTTTTAATAAGGCATTTTAATCTATACGTTAAAGACAAATTACAGGCTGACAAGTTCAAAATTCGAGATACTCCAGAATCCAGAATTTTTGAACACCAACATGATACTCAAAGGTACTGCCTGTTGGAGCATTTTCAGAATTTAGATTTTCAGGTTTGCAGTACTCAACTGCTAAGTTTAATGCAAATATTCCCCAAAAAAATTCCAGAAAAATTCAAAATCCAAAACATTTCTGATTCCAAGCATTTCAGATAAGGGATAGTCAACCTATACTAGATTTAGAAAGCAGTGTGCCTTAAATTGTGTCATTCCAAGAGGCAGAGTTGAAATGTGAGCCCAGATCTGACCAATTTTTAAGTCCATACGGCTGTCTTACTTGGATTTTTTTATTCTTTTAAGTGTTTCTCATAGTCTTCCTTTTTTAATTTCATTTTTTTGAGGCAGGATATCACTCTGTAACTCAGGCTAGAGTGCAGTGGCATGATCATGGCTTACCACAGTCTCAACTTCCTGGGCTCAGGCAATCCTTCCACCTCTACTTCCTGAGTAGCTGGGACTATAGGCACATGCCACCATATCCAGTTAATTTTTCTTATTTTTATTTTTGCAGAGACGAGGTCTCACTTTGTTGCCTTGCCTGGTCTCAAACTCCTGGACTCAAGCAGTCCTCATGCCTCAGCCTTCGTAAGTGCTGAGATTACAGGCGCGAGCCATTGTGCCCAGCTGCCTTTCTTTGTTTTTAAACATTGCAACAGTACATGCTAATTTTTATCTAATCAAATAATATAGAAGTAACTAATTTCCCATTAGTTCCTCATTCCACAGTTCCACCCACAGAAGTAAGCAATTTAAAAAATTTTTTCAAGATGCATGTAAATATTTTTCCTGCATACGTATCTCTCTCTATATATAAAATGTATGTTTTTCTGAAAAGATTGTCTTAATTTACATTCTCTCAACCCTATGTAAAAGTTTCTGTTCCCCTACAACCTTTCAATACTGAATGTTCATTTTCTATCCTGTTTTCCATTTGACAGTTGAAGTAATTTTCTCTTTGCTTTTATTCACATCAAGTTATAAGTGATGCTGAATATCTCAAAATCAAAACTGTTTTGTCACTGGGCACAGTGGCTCACACCTGTAATCCTAGCACTTTGGGAGCCCGAGGTAAGAGGATTTCCTGAGCCCACAGGTTCAAGACTAGCCTGGGCAATAAACCAAAAACCTAGCCAGGTGTGGTGGCGTGTGACTGTTGTCCCAGCTACTTGGGAAGGCTGAGACTGTGGTAGCAGTGATCGTGCCACTACACTCCAGTCTGGCAACAGAGTGAAACTCCAACCCAAAAAATACGTACGTACGTACGTACATACATACATACATACATACATACATAAAACAAACAGTTTTCTCTACAAACTAGCCCACCCAAATCTGTAGTAATCCCAAGATAGTGGTGGTTTAAAATACAAATCCAGATAAGTACAATGTAAATGTTCCATTTATCAGTCTTATCCATCTTTATGTAACCCCAGAAAGGAAAGAAACTTCTAGTTAATTAACATGTCACAATTCCATTGAGGAGATGCCTAATGTGTTTTAGAATTTAAATGGAACTCATTATTACCAGATGTCTCATTTATATTAAATATGTATTTTTAGGATCCTGCAGAAAAAAATCATAAAGACAAAAAGCACCCAGTACATTCATTCATTCCATCAGTGTTGGTCAAGTGATTTCCACATACCAGGCATTGGACATGTTAGGGCTTGATTTTAGAAAATGAACAAGATAAACTGGGCGTGGTGGCTCATGCCCATAATTCCAGCACTTTGGGAGGTGGAGGTGAGTGGACTGCCTGAGCCCAGTGGTTCAAGTCTGAGCAACTTGGCAAGACCTCATCTGTACAATAAACTAAAAAATTAGCTGGGCCTGGTGGTGTGCATCTGTACCTCCAGCTACTTGGAAGGGTGAGGTGGAAGGATCACCTGAGCCCAGCAGGTCAAGGCTGCGGTAGCCGTGAGCACGCCACTGCATTCCAGCCTGGGTAACAGAGTAAAACTCCAACTCAGAACAAACAGAAAAGAAAAAGAAAGAAATAAACAAGATGAGCAGTCTTTTATCTCAAGCAGTTTAGTTTTGTGCAGCATAAAACAATGTCACAGTGAGAAAGTTTTGGCTGGAGGTAACACAGTACCTAACACAACAGCTAACTCAGACTGCCTGCAACAATAAGGAAATGTCTTAAGTCTACTAGAAAGTGGCTAAGGATAATGCTAGTCTCCAAGTCTGCTCGATCCAGTGGTCCAGTTTTGCCATCAGAGACCCAGTTCTTTCCATCTCTATCTTTGCTCTGTCACCCACATTTGTCAGCTTCATCCCAAGACCGGTCTCGTCATTGCGGGATGGCTACCCAGGGCAATTTGGGCTTCATGCTTCCTTGTTAATTTAGGGGGTATGGGGACTTCCTGTGGCTCTCTTAAGGTTAGGGAACAGCTCTTCCAAGAGGCTCCAGCAAACTTCTGTTTTGTATCTCATTGGCCAGAACGAACAAAATCCATTCCCGACATACTCATACCTGACATAATTGTTGGCAAAAAAGAGTAAGACTTAGGCAATCAGGCCTCTACCTGAAACAGGATAGGTGCCTGCTTTCCCTCAGGCCCATCCATTAGCAGCAGAGGTAGATACCTGAATAAAAACAGAGAACAGTCTTCTGGAAGAAAACAGGGGTGGTTTCTACAGAGGAAACAATATCTGCTCCAACAAGAAAATGAGTAACTGAGATGGACTGTCTGCACAGCTTGGAGGTGTGAGTGAAAAATGACATCTTTGCCATTTTCTTTTTAATGCCCCCTAGGATCAGAGTGGCACTGAACCCGTTAGTAGCGAGGAAGATGGCAGCCTCGAAGTTGGTATTAAACAATTGCCGGAAAGTGAATGCTCCAGACTGGTGAGAACCGGGGTATTTTTCATCCTATGTTCTTTTTAAGGATGTACAACTTAGATTTCATACTACCTTGGAAAGGGCCATTTGCAGTGTTTGCCTCTCTTGGGAATCTTGATCTCTGAGACAGGAGAGGCTATTCTGTCTGGAATAGCCATCCACTCCGAAGAACAGCGTCATCTACCATCTTGACACTTGAATTATGCTGCCTGGGACTAAAAAAGGAATCTCTCCATGACTCAAGGAAAGGATGTTAACAGAGAAAGAGAATAAAGAAAACAAAAGTGGCCAGTCTCGGTGGCCTAGCCTGTAATCCTAGCCGAAGCAAATGGATTGCCTGAGACTGCAGGTTCGAGACCAGCCCAGGCAACTTGGCAAGACCTTGTCTCTACAATAAATTAAACATTAGCCAGGCTTGGTGGCGCGTGCCTATAGTTCCACCTACTTGGAAGGCTGAGGTGGAAGGATCACCTGAGCCCAACAGGTCAAAGCTGCGGTGGCCGTGAGCATGCCACTGCACTCCAGCCTGGATGACGGAGTGAGACTCCGACTCAAAAAAAAAGAAAGCAAAAGCAATCTCTCCTTTATCTGGTTTAATACTGGGTTTTTATAAGGCCATCACAAAGAATTAATCACTTGTGAGTGTCCACCTGGTTTTTTAATAGCCCAGAGTTGTTCATTTTACTTCAGGGAGTTTGAGAAGTCACCCAGTTATCTTCTTTCAACTTTTAGAAAACATAGATTGGAGCTGCCTTTGATTCCATATCCTAGAGAGTGAGCTGATTCTTTCTGGCTGAAGGAAAAAGATGTTTCAGCAGGAGTAGAGATTGTCATGTGGCACTCAGGGACAAGCCCTACATGAGGCCCGAGATCCCCTGGCACCAAGAACAGTGGCAATTTGCTGAAGATCTTACAGGGCAACAAAAAAAAAAAGAATAGTGGTTGGGCGTGGTACGCCACGCCTGCATTCCCAGCACTTTGGGAGGCCAAGACAAGAGTATTGCCTGAGTTCAGGAGTTCAAGACCAGCCCGGGCAACTTGGCAAGACCTCGTCTCTACAATATATCAAAAAATTAGCCGAGTATGGTATTGCACACCTGTAGTTCCAGCTATTTGGAAGGCTGAGGCAGAAGGATTGCCTGAGCCCAGTAGGTCAAGGCTGTGGTATCTATGAGTATGCCACTGCACTCCAGCCTGGGTGACAGAATGAGACTGTGACTCAAAAAACAAGAAGGAAGGTAGGGAAGGAGGAAGGAAGGGAAGAATAAGAAGAGTGGCAGTAACAAATTATGACCATTGTTCCTGAATACAGTATCCCAAGGTCACCCTGTTCTCTTTCCAAAGGGCAGACTTCATATTTGCACCAAAGGGAGATGGATACTATCAACAAGTTTCAAACTGAATGCCCCTTCATTTAAAAATATAGTAACTTGAGACCAGGCATGGTGGCTCATACTTGTAATCCCAGCAATTTGGGAGACTGAGGTGAGAGGATTGCCTGAGCCCAGGAGTTCAAGACTAGCCTGGGCAACGTGGTGAGACCATGTCTCTATAAAAAATTTTAAAAATAGCCAGGTGTGGTGGTATGCACCTGTAGGCCCAGCTACTCTGGAGGCTAAGGCAGAAGGCCCTCCTGAGCACAGGAGGTTGAGACTGTGGTGAGCCATGGTCATGCCACTGTACTCCAACCTGAGTGACAGAGTGAGACCCTGACTCAAAAATAAAATAAAAATAAAAATATATTAACTTTTTTTGGTTGAGCACGGTGGCTCATACCTATAATCCCAGCACTTTGGGAAGCTGAGGCAGGAAGATTGCTTGAGGTCAGGAGTTCAAGGTTACAGTAAGCTATTTTAGGGCTTTTTTTTGTGTGTGTGGGTTTTTTTTGAGTCAGAGTCTCACTCTGTCACCCAGGCTGGAGTGCAGTGGCACGCTCATGGCCACTGCAGCCTCCACCTGCTGGACTCAGGTGATCCTTCTGCCTCAGCCTTCCAAATAGCAGGAACTACAGGCGTCTACTACCACTCCTGGCTTATTTTTTAATTTATTGTAGAGATGAGGTCTCACCAAGTTGCCCAGGCTGGTTTTGAACCCCTGAACTCAGGCAATTCTCTTGCCTTGGCCTTCCAAAGTGCTGAAATGACAGGCTTGAGCCCCTACACCCAGCCTACAGTAAGCTGTTGATGTCACTTCTGCCTGGGTGACAGAGTAAGACCCTGTCTCTATACAAAATAAATAAATAAAGATGTATTAACGTGTTCCTTTTGGCCTTGTATCTCCACTGGTAGTTAGGAGAAAGTCTTTTAAACCAACAGGATTTTGTAAGTAGGGTCCCCTGATTTGATCAGGAAATGGTAAAAAGAATGAGAATACCCCCTTGCTTGCTGGAACAGTCTGATAGTCCTAATGAGTTCCCATGTAGGCTGAAGGCAAAGGCCCCCCATCATCCACCCCGTCTTCCCAAGTAAGCAACACCAGCAGTGGGGCTCCGAACATGAAGATGCTGAAAGGGCAGAAACCTGAAAGACTGATGGTCATTTTGAAAAATGTTTTTTGGCCAGGCTCGGTGGCTCAGCCTGCCATCCCAGCACTTTGGGAGGCCGAGAGCAGTGGATTGCCTGAGCCCGCAGGTTCAAGACCCACCCGGGCAACTTGGCTAGACCACATCTCTACAACAAATCAAAAATTAGCTGGGCGTGGTAGCGTGCGCCTGTAGTTCTGGCTACTTGGAAGGCTGAGGAGAGAGGATCACCAGAGCCCAGCAGGTCAAGGCTGCAGTGACCGGGAGTGTGCCACTGCACTCCAGCCTGGGTGACAGAGTGAGACTCCAACTCAAAAAAAAACAGAAAAATGTTTTTCACCACAAATTGCATGCTTTCTCTGTGGACCCACTGGCAAGTGTCTCTTTTTCCAGTTTGTTCCCTCCCTTTTCCACCTGTCTTTGAGGTCCTAAAATTTCTTTGTCACCATTTTCGATAGGATCTATGCATGGTCTCATTCAAAGAAGAAAGAGGGCCTGAATGTGGAGAACTTCTGTAGCATAAACGTAAATGACCTAGCATAAAGTATTGGTTAAGAGTGTGGTCTTGGACCAGTTTCTTGATCATACCAAGCCTCAGTTTCCTCTTCTGATGAATGGCAGGGTTGAGGATGCTGGGAGGAGACACATGGGCAGCGTATCAACCCCATAGAAGAAGAAGACATGGCAAAGCGTAGTTATTAGTCAGCTCTTATGTTCATTCAACAAATATTCACTGTGTCCTGGGCACTACAGATACAACAGTGAACAAAATATGCGAAAGTGCTTTCCCTAATGGAACTCTTTCCACTTTGGGGGTGGGTATAGATTATACATAAATCAGCAAAATCTGAGCTTGATGTATGAAATTGTCATTTTTGTAGGTAAACATTTCATATGGTCAACCCAATATATACATAAGTGTTATCTTATAATGAAGTGTTAATAACTTCATCATCACTGGTCATTATTTGATTGTTTCTGTTATAAGATTGGAGTGCGCCCCTCTGTGTGGCCACACCATCCTAGGATTGCCAATGGATGTACCTTGTGAAGGGCAGCATCTGATCTGTATGGGCCTTGACTATTGGTCCCTTAGTTTATGTCAAGCAGTTGGAGATGCTAAGTGCTAACCCTCTAAAGTGTCTTACTTATTTCCTGTGGGGGCAAATGTCTCATCGGGCACTGTGCTACAGGAGTCATCAAGGAAGAACACAGACCTTGCCTTTAAGAAGCTTGTCTTCTAGTATCAACCAGGATCATAGGACTTATATCTGGAAAACTATGACAGGCAGAATGTACCAGAGAGAAAAAAAAAACCTAAATATTAGGATACCAAAGAAGGAAGAAAAGCTTTTCATTCAGAGATTCGGAAAGGTTTCTGAGTGTAGGGAGAGCCTTTAATTTTAAGGTAAACATTTAAAGACGAGAAGGCAGCTGATTGCTGAGGCTAGCATAAACTGGAGGTATACCAGATGAATAAAGCAGTGCGGATGGTGGTGTAGTGAGCAGGAATTGGGCCTTTGTAGGGAAACAGTGGGCAATAGGATTTGAACAGCGGAATCACAGAAGCAAAGGGATGATAGATTAATTCATTCCTCTTTTCATACTCAATGCTCTTAAATGTCTGTTGAGAGCTGGATGGATACATGTTTACACAAGGTGCCACCCAAGAGAAGCTCTGCTCCAAAGAGCTATTAGATCCCTTCTCCAAGATCGCTTGTTACTTTCCAAGCTGAGACCAAGCCATGGATCTATGCCGTTTCCACCTTGCATTCGTGGTTGGCTTTGTCTGTGTCCCAGATACATAGCCAAGGAATTTATAACAACTTCAGAAGGTATTCCATTTCTCTAAAATATGTTTAAAGAGGAAATCACTTGTTTGTAGCTCAGATGATGTTTGTGAAACACAGATTCAAATTGTGAGAGACAAGAGGCAGGAAGTGTCTGGTATCTATTTCAGAAGTCGAGGTGAGAACCAGTGAACTCTATTTTTTAAGTCTTTTGGAAATAACTTTTATAAAACTGTTTGCACAGAACTTTCCAATTTGCACAACGGTTTTACCTATTTAATCTCATTATCCAAAATGGTATTTAGTTAGCTCATGATGTTATTCAGTCTTCTCCCCAAAATTGCCCTGTATAAAAACAGGACAGGAGTGGCCAGGCATGGTGGCTCAGCCTGTCATCCCAGCACTTTGGGAGACTGAGGCAAGAGGATTGCCTGAGCCTGGGGGTTCAAGACCAGCCTGGGCAACTTGATGAGACCTCGTCTCTACAATAAATAACAAAATCTAGCCAGGCGTGGTGGCATGCATCTGTAGTTCCGGCTACTTGGAAGGCTGAGGCAGAAGGATTGCCTGAGCCTAGCAGGTTGAGGCTGCGGTGGTTGTGAGCACGCCAACCTGGGCGACAAAGAGTGAGACTCCAACTCAAAAAAAACAAAAACAAGCAAACAAAAAAGGACAGGAGTTACTTACCCCAGATT